ACCAGAGACAATGGCAACATGATGGCTACTTATAGGAAACAAGAGGGTCACATGACAAGAACAAACCAATGGGAAACAAGACACATGACTAAGACAACCAATCAGAACATGACACAATGAACAGGGGAACCAATGGCATGAATACATGAGGGCAAGGGAAGCATGACACAAACAGGGACCATGAAACAATTACAAAATAAAAGACATGGAAAACATGAACATGAAACAAAACACCACATTACAGTCTGCTAACCTTCAAACTTTTTCCTTTCTAAGTTGGTCTTTTTCAGGCCAGGCCAAGCCAGGGCAGTTTAACGAGTACACTACATTATTTATCTTCACACTAAATCTCAACTGTGACTCAAGCTCCTTTAGAAACGAAGCACACAGAAAGCAATATCCTGCTGTGTGTGTGCTGTAATCATGGGCTCATTCCATCACTGATGGCTTCTTTCACTAACATGTCCTCTATGAAGATATACTTGATTTTACACTGGACAAATTGGCAGGGTTGTAAGAAGTAATTTCTTACAATAAAAAGCTAATGGTAATTACATAGCTCAACAGGATCTTTGATTTATTGAATCAAAGATAGGCACATGGTAAAACAAGAAGTAATTTCTTACAATAAAAAGCTAATGTTAAATACATAGCTCAACAGGATTGCATTTATTGAATCAAAAATAGGCACATGGTAAAACAATAATATTGCAGTTTTAAATTGTTTTATATTGTTTGCTATTTGAATATATTTAGTAAATATATGTAATTTGATCATGTAGTTCCCCTTCGGGAACTCGAGCTGCATCGGAAAACGCTAGGGGAACGGCTTCAGCGATACCAAGCTCTGAATCATATGTGTAATCAGTCCAATTGATGGGCGAGACGTCAGAGTCGGGTGACGTCATGACCAGGAAGCTTTAAAAAGCTTTAAAAGGTGCAGCCGGCGTTAGCTTTCTGTCATTATATGTTCTGTGAGTCTTATTTATTGTTGTCTGTCCAAAGTTACAAAAAAAAAGTATAAAGCTCCAGCAAAGAAAAAAAGATGTCTAAAGAGACAAACAAGGGCGAAAGCAGATCGCGTTATAGACTGTGTTCCTCCCTGCCCACACTACATCACGAGCGGGGATACACACAGTTTGTGCGTGGTCTGCCCGCTTCGCATGATCAAGGTCACGCGGTGTTGCCTACGTGCCTTAGACATGTGGAGGAAACCTTGGTTCTTGTCTCAGGGCCCGGTGCTGGGAGCTCCTTGTCACCGCGTAACGCTAGCGACGGATGCGTCCCTCACCGGTTGGGGAGCGGTCATGAGTGGCCACCCTGCCCGCGGTCTGTGGAGTGGTCGCCATCTCACATGGCACATCCCCGAGGTGGTGAAGCAGATATGGTTTTTGGAGTTTTTGGCCAGGCTCAGGTGGACTTGTTTGCGACCTGTCAGACATCGCAATGTC